TGTGTGCCCCAAACCCCAAAAGGAGAATGGAGAAGGGATTGTGGCATGGCCATCCCCCTGGGGGTGATTTCTTGCTTTCTGTCTTTCTCTCTCTCATGTGCAAGCACATGTACTCTATAGCAAAAATCTCTCTTTAAAAAAAAAGAGAGAGAGATTCTGGGGCCAGCAGGTGGCATGATAGTTAAAGGTTCTAAACTCCCACATGGCTGGCCACAGTTGGGAGTCCTGGACCTGGAAGCTTGTTTTCTCACTCTTCCTCTCTCTCTCTCATTCTGTCCCTCTCTGGTCAAATTAAAATAAATAAGTAAATAAAGGTGAATAAGATAATTCTTTTTAAAATGAGAAATTTATTAATAATATTTAATATTTATTAAAATATCCATTAATTTTATTTATAATTTATTAACAACAATACATTAAAAATTAAATAATTCTTTTTATAAAAGAAAACAGGAGGTCCTAATTTTCTTTCAGGCCTGGAGAGCTAGGTGCCAGAAGCTAGGTCCATTTTGGAGGGGGTGTTTTGTTTTTTATTTTTTCTGTAGCAAGGTGTACAGCCCTCTCCAGACCAAAATCAGTGCACCTGGCTCAGTTTGGCAAAGTGCGGTGTAAGAAAGGCTTATCAGTCTTGCATGCGTTGGCATGAGCTGCCCTGTTGATACAGATTCAGGAAGCTGACGGTGGCTCCCAGGACGGCTATGTCAGGCCTAGCATCAAATATGTAGTGGCCGAGTAATTACTGTAATAATTAATTTCCGTTGCTTAATCTAGCAATCAGGCATGTCAGTTTACACAGGGGACAGTGTTGGTCCCTGTAGGGGTGTGTGTGCGTCTAGAATGCAGAGTAGCACTCACTGCTTCGTTAAGATTTGGAGATCAGTTTGTGGAGTAAATAAGATGCCTTTAGTTTGGTTTTTTAGTCATAGGTTTGGGAAAAAAGCAGGAAGGTGAATAAAGAGAAACAAAAAAACAAACGCTCCAAACTTCAAATGCCATCCTCACGAGAACTTTTCCAAAGTCAGGTTTGATCCAACTTATAATTTGCAATGTTGTAAGTGAAGACTTGAAAGCAGGTGGTTTTACTCAAATCTTGCCCTGGGCTTTCTGGAGCCATGATGCTCAGTAGAACCACAAGCCACACATGTAATCTTTCATTTTCTAGAAGCCATTTTTGTGGGAGGAAGGGATTTTTGTTATAGGATGCATGCTTTTCCCAGACAGACAAAGACAGAGAGACAGAAAGTGAGAAATCACCCCCCCCGGGGGGGGGATGGCCATGCCGCAATCCCTTCTCCATTCTCCTCTCGGGATCTTGGGCACGCACGCACACACGCCCGGTGTGAGTTTTAAGCCACCAGGTCCGGGATGCGAACCGCGGTCGACTACATGGGAGTCTAGTCACATAGCCATTACGCTACTTGCTGGTCCCAGTAGTCTTATTTTTAAGACATAAAAAGGGACAGAGAAATTCTTTTCATGATTATTCTTATCATTATTTTCCTTGATGAGAGGGAAAGGAAGAATGACTGATAGGTATTTGATACCTATTAGATAGGGCCTGGCACTATGGCAATCCTCCTGCCTCAGCCTCCCTATTAGCTAGGATTACAGGCCTGGATGGCCTCCCCTGAAGTGTTCAGGTTGACCTAGGAATCAAACCCAGGCCTCCCATGTGGTTTCCAGCCTCGTAAGTGGTGACACTATCTGTGAACCGCTACAGCTAGGCCTGAAATTAACTTAGTGCAATGTATCTGAAATACTGTCATTTCAAAACATAATCAGTAGTAACATTAGTAACATGATATTTCACGTTCTTTTTTTCATATGATTGAAATCTGATGTATATCTTACACTGAAAGAAGAGTTTCAGTTTCTCAGTCTTAGCAGCCACAGTTTACATGTTTAATAGCCACACGAGACTAAACCTCCATATTGACCAATGCAGAGACAGAGGACACAAGATGAAGTACCAGTCCAGGTTAGATTCCCCTCTGTGACGCCATCACTTAAGCAGCTGATAACATTATCACAAAAGAAATAGACAACGTTGTGTTGTCTATCCAAAGATTATTTGAGCCAATTTAAACAGTTCTTACACACCATGATGGACAGAGGTGAGGGACCATATCTTTCTCATTCCTTTTATTTTTAAAGAATTATTTTATTTAACTTTATTTATTTTAATTTGACCAGAGAGGGATAGAGAGAAAGAGAGAGAGAGAGAAAGAGAAAGCTGCCACGTCCAGGACTTGAACCGTGATTGGCCCTGTGGGAACCCAGCACCCATAACCACCATGACAACTGCTGGCCCCATCTTTCTCATTATTAACCCTTTCCTTTGCATTCCTCTGTGTCGGTTTTTATCTTCTGAGGGAAGAGTACATTATGAGGACCCAGTACGTGTGGAGTGAGTACTCAGCCCCGTGCAGTGAGGACAGAGAAAGAGCTGAGACTGGCTCTGAATTCCAGGAGCTTGCCATCAGGGAGAAAGGTCACATGAGCACAAAATGTTGGGAGGATCCCATCAGAAAATAAAGTCCAATGTCATATTAGATATGATTAGATACAGAAGCCAGCAGGTGGCATGGCGGTTAAAGCACTGGACTCCTACGTGGTGGACTGCAGTTCGGGTCCCAGACCTGACAGCTTGAAAATCATGCTGGGTGCGTATGCATGCATGCCCAAAATCCCAAGAGGAGAATGTAGGAGGAGGAATTGCAGTATGGCCATACTCTCTGGGTAAGGGGTGATTTCTTACTTTCTCCATTTCTTTCTCTCTCCATTTCTCTCTGGCAAGCACACAAACTCCATGGCAAAAACCTAGAAAAAAGAAAAAGTGATATACAAGTGAAAGGGAAAGACAGGTCAATAGTGGCAGTATTTACCAGGGATAGATTCTAGGTCCTTAACAGCTGGTTTGGTTTAGGCTGGCTCAGAAGTAAGGCTTCTGGGGAAGGGGTATGAACTCTGGGGTCCCCAGTGAGGACCCCCCTCCTCTATAGTCACAGCCAATTGCAATGTTCTCTTCAAGGCTGTTGCATCTCTAGGAAAATAAGGTTTGCCCAATTCTCTGAAAGTCTCCGTTTTCCCGTTTTTGTCCTGTTTCAGACTTCCCTTTTCTCACCTGCTGTATAGTCACCCATGCTGTGTTTTAAGGATTTCTAATTCCCCAGCTTCGGCTTGGAGTGTTCTTCCAGGCCCCCATGTGGCTCATGGGGCCATGTCACTAGTTCAGCCAGTGAGCTCTGAGTAGCCGTGAAGGGAGTCCTTCTAGTTCAGGTCACTTGCTCGCCACTGCAGGACCGTCCGTAGCTGCTGTCTTCTTCTTTTCTTTTTTTAAAGTTTTCTTTTGCCATAGGGCACATGTACTCCCTGGAGAGAGACAGAGAGAGGAAAGTGAGAAATCACTCCCCATGGGGGATGGCCATGCCTCAATCCCTTCTTTTCTTTTCTCCTGTCAGGACTTTGGGCATGCACGCACATGCGCCTGGCATCATTTTCAAGCTCCTGTGTCTGGGACTTGAGCCATGGTTGACCACATGTGAGTCTAGCACCTTAACCACCATGCTACCTGATGGACCCCGTAGCCCTCTTGTAAGAACTGGCTTGTGGCGGTGACTGTTTTATCAGCCTGAGCCCTGGAGCAACTAGAATGATTAGAGTCATTCTGCTAACTCGTAACGGGCATGCCATGAGAGACAGGAAAAACACACCGCATCGCTGTGGTCTTCACTCCCGTTCCACAGATGGTACCACACTTTGACCAGGCCCATCCTGACTGAGGCAGACTCTCCTCCAGTGAGGGCACAACTTCCTTAAGATGGGCGGGTTCACAGGGCCGGCAGGTGGTGTGGTGGTTAAGGGCACTGGACTCCCACACGGTCAACCTCAGTTCGAATTCTGGACCTAGAGGCTTGCTTTCTCACTTTCTTTCTCTCTGTCTCTTGTTCTGTCCTTCTCTGGTCAAATTAAAATAAATAAGTGGATTCATAAAGTTAAATAAAAGAATTCTTTGGAAAATAAAAATGATGGGCAGGTTCGGAACAGGGTCAGAGCGATGATGTCTCCTGACAGACATCAGAAGCCCTTCAGTTCGAATTCTGGACCTAGAAGCTTGCTTTCTCACTTTCTTTCTCTCTGTCTCTTGTTCTGTCCTTCTCTGGTCAAATTAAAATAAATAAGTGGATTCATAAAGTTAAATAAAAGAATTCTTTGGAAAATAAAAATGATGGGCAGGTTCGGAACAGGGTCAGAGCGATGATGTCTCCTGACAGACATCAGAAGCCCTGGATTGCTCTGCCCCTCTCAGCTAAAAGGAACGTCCTCTGTGGCCACCAAAGATATCAGGGCCTTCTCTGGGAAACTGAGGCGTGGCACAGGGCTAACCCCCCTTCAATACCCACTCCGTTGCCCAGCCCATCCCATGCTGGCAGGCATAGTCAAAACTCAATGTGGGGCTGCTGGAGCTGGAGCAGGGCGGAGTCACACTTGTTGCAGAGAGAAAGGAAGAAGGAGAGAAGTCTGGCCCATTGGCGTGGACCAAAGCTAAGGGCTTAAAGCCTGGGAGTGTCTTGACTGACCACAGACCTACACAAAAGAGCCTCTTCCCCTGCGCCCTTCGACTGCATGCATCTCGGCCCTCCCTTCCCTGTCCTTGTCTCTTCTAGACTGTTCTTTTTGTTTGTTTGTATTTTTACCATAGGGTGCATGCACTTACCAGAAAGGGACAGAGACAGAGAAATCATCCCCCTCGGGAAGGGGGGGGGGAACGGTCACACTGCAATCCCTTGTCCTTCATGCTCCTCTTGGGATTTTGGGAACATACATACACACTCAACGTGTTTTTCAAGCCGCCAGGTCCAGGACTAGAACCATGCAGTCGGCCAGGTGGATCCAGTCTCGTAACCATTACTTCACCTCTAGCTCCCCCAGCTCCCCTGCTCCAAACTGTCTTTTAGTCAGATTTTACCTTGCTAGGTGAGCAATGGGCCTTCCAGTCATTTAACAAACAGGCATCAAAGGCGGCCTCCTGTGTGCCCAACTCTAGGGGAAGAATGGTGCTGGGAGTGTTCCTGCCTGCCGAGAACTCCATCTGCCAAGAAAGACGGACAAGTAAAGCTTACAAACAGAAGGTGAGTTTTAAGGGTAGACAGTCCAGAGAGGGTTGCAGGAGCTCTTTGCCTAGCCTGAGAAGTCAGGGAGGGCTTCCTAGCAGAGGTGAGGTGGCTTCTGCTGGACAGAGTTAGAGGGGAGGCTAGGGAGGCAGAGACAGCAAAGTGAGCGAGCAAAGCCTGGCTAAGCAGGGTCTATTCAGAGACTGAAGTGGCTGGATGTGAGGAGCTGAGAGGTTTGGGGGCAAGCAGATAGATGCTGGGCTGAAATGGAAGGGCCAGGTCGCCAAGGGCCCAGACATGGTGACAACAGTGATGAGCCAGGCTAGCCAAAGGCTACTACAGAGGCTTAAGCCAAGGAATACCTAAATCCAACTCCTGAGCAGGGAGGGAAAAGAGGTGATCTTGTGAGCCGGCCAGACGGGATGAACTTTTTGTGCGCTCATGTGGGCATTTGTGTATTTGTGTGTGTGCCTTTGTGTATTTGTGTGTGCATTTGTGTGTGTGTTTGTGTTTGCATGTGTAATTGTGTGTGCATTTGTGTGTGTGTATTTGTGTGTGTGCATTGGTGTGTGTATTTGTGTTAAGCAACATTTCCCAATCGCACTGGTAGTGTGAAAAGATAGGCCCTGGGACTGGCCCTGTTGAACAGGGGTTAAACACAGTGCATTGGGAACTAGATCCCACAGGGCTGATTGTAGTTCAAATCCCAGCACCGGTGGCTTGAAAAGCAAATCATGCATGTGTACACCTGTGCCCAAAATACTGATAGGAGGGAGGAATGGAGGAGAAGGGATTGTGCCATGGCCACACCCCACTGGGGAGTATTTTCTGTCCCTCCCTCTTTCTCTTCCCTCCTCCCCAGTGAAAGCACACACCCTCTGGCAAATAAAAAATTTCTAAAAAAGAAGCAATAGACCCTAGAATAAAGTACAGAGTAAGGGAGCAGGGCAGTGGGGCATAGATTGTTTCCAGCCAGTTGGACGCACGTTTTAATTTTTTTCTGGATGAGGAGCCAGTGAGTAGAGGGTGGGAATAGCAGGGGCAGAGAAGGGAGAGATTTAAGCTTCCAAGTCCAGGAACTGAATTGTCGTTGACTATATGGGAGTCCAGCGACATAACCATTTCGCCATCTGCTGGTGCCCTGGCATGTTTTTCAAACCACCAAGTCTGAGACAAATTGTGCAGTCAGCCATGTAGGATCCAGTTGCCTTAACTACCAAGCCACTCGCTGGCCTGAGGATACTTAAACTAAGAACTGCTAAAGAAGTGTTTTTGGTGGTGAAATGTGCGGTGCTAATGGCGTAGGGATGGCTGGAAGGATAGATACAGGCATAACCCCACGTTCATAAGAGTAGCATTAGAATCTAATGCCTTAGGGGGATCAGCAGATGCCATAATGGTTACATCACTGGACTCCCACGCAGTTGACAACAGTTCGAGTCCTGGACCTGGCAGCTCAAACTCACACCGTGTGCATGTGCGTGTGCGTGCGTGCCCTAAATCTGGAGAGAATGGAGAAGGGATTGTGGCATGGTCATCCCCCTAGGTGTGATTTCTCACCCTCTGTCTCTCTGTCTCTCTCTGCCTGTCTGTCTGGTGAGTGCACACACCCTATAGCAAAAATCTCTCTTTTAAAAAAAATCTAATGCCTTAGGTTTAGGACTTTGACCCTGTTTTCTCCACCCACCTCTGCCCATGATTTACAGAGGATTCTGCTACTTGATTCGGTGGTAAAATTAGCTGATTCTTATCGTTCCAGTTTCTCCAGGTGAACCTAAATTAGGATATGCAACAAAAAAGAGATGCCTCACCCCTTTCTCTCTCCTAAACACAGTGGTTTAAAGAAGACAATTTAGGGGGACCAGTAGTTAGTATAATGGCTATGTCACTGGACTCCCATGTAGTATATCGCGGTTCGAGTCCCAGACCTGGTGGCTTAAACTCATGCAGGGCGCATGTGCACGCGTGCGTGCCCAAGATCCCAAGAGGAGAATGGAGGAGAAGGGATTGTGGAGAAGGGATTGCGGTGTGGCCATCCCCCCGGAGGGTGATTTTTTGTTTTCTATCTCTCTGTCTCTCTCTGTCTTTCTGGCGAGCACACACGCCCTGTGGCAAAAACGTCTCCATAAAAAAGGAAGACAATTTAGGGACCACCAGATGACATAGTGGTTACATTGTTGGACTCCCACATAGCTGACCATGGTTCAAGTACTGGACCCAGCAGCTTAAAACTCACACTGGCCACATGTGTGTGCATGCTCAGAATCCTGGAGAAGGATGGAGGAGAAAGGATTGGCTGGGAGTGATTTTTTTGCTTTCTGTCTTTGTATCTCTTTGTCTCTGGTGAGCACACATGCTCTATATCAAAAATCTCTCTCTCAAAAAAAATAAATAAATAAATAAGGGAACCAGCAGTTAGTGTAATGGCTATGTCGCTGGACTCCCACGTAGTCGACCGCAGTTCGCGTCCC